ACAGCGAGGAGATGCAAAGGCATCCGGAGTGAGCATTTCACTGCCTCCAAGGGGAATTTCCCACAGGGACCTTGCACTGACTCTTTCTGTCTGGGTGCACACACGTGTGCATCTGCTACAGCAAATGTGGGAGAAATGCTGCTCTCTCAGGTGTTTTAGTACCTGAGACATCTGAGCGAGCCAGGCCTGTAAGAAAGTATATGGCATAAGGTAGGTCAAATACTGCTAAGTGTTATTCCTCTGTTGAACTGCTAAATTTAGGATATAACTGAAGTACTGTTAAGTTTGAGTGCTTTAAAGCTTTTAGGCCATTTTCCTTTTCATCCTTACCCTCACAGTCCTTTTGTCACACACCTGAACACACACACAAACACTCAGGAATAGTACTTTGGTGTGCTGTTGCTTAATATGAAACCTGATTTGTACTTATATCCTTGCTGGTGGTTTTATGCCTTCAGAAATTCTTCCTCTGCCCTGGCTTTGGCCTCTCCCTCAGCAGGCCTGGATGGTGCAGCTGCAAGGGGAGGGGAGTCCGTGGTGCTCAGCACAGCCGCCCCCTTCCAGGAGCAGGGTGACATCTGCATTTGTCACCATGGTCTCTGGGGCATTAACCCTCTCCCTGAGGCTTTCCTGAGGTCACTGAGACAGGGGTGTTCATCCTGGAGAAGGGATGGCTTCAGGGAGACCTCAGAGCCCCTTCCAGAGCCTAAAGAGGCTCCAAGAACTAGACAGGAAGTTTGGACAAGGGCCTGAAGTGACAGGACAAGGGGGAATGGCTTCCCACTGCCAGAGAACAGGTTTGAGTGGAAGATTGGGAAGAAATTCTTCCCCGTGAGGGAAGAACCTGTGTCCTGGCACAGGTTCCCAGAGATGCTCTGGCCGCCCCATCCCTGGAAATGTTCCCGGCCAGGTTGGATGAGGTTTGAAGCAACCTGGTCTAGTGGAAGGTGTCCCTGCTTGCAAAGGGGTAAGATCAGGTAAAAACAACCACAAGTATTCCCAAAACTGAGGAGGAGGAGGAGCTCTGGTAAAGGGCTGGAAGGGCAAATACAGCACCCCAAAATCTGCTCTCCAATTCCTTTCATTACATCATCAAGGTTATTGGCAGTAAGTAATGTGGGCTCTAATGCTTGATAACCTGGCTGCAAGCATGTCATGGTTTGACACTGGCCAAACTCCAGGCACATGTGAAAACTGTTCACTCACCGTCTCTTGCCCTCAGCTGGGCAGAGGAGAGGGAAACAAAAATTAACAAAGAGCTCATGAGTTGAGATGAGGACTGGGAGAAAAAATAATCTAAGAGTCAAAAATAAAAGGTTCAAATTTAATGGTATTAGGAGAAAAAATAATCTAAGAGTCAAAAATAAAAGGTTCAAATTTAATGGTATTAAGTAAATTTATTATTAACAGAGTCAGAGGACAATAATGAGAAATAAATAAAACATTAAAAGACCTTTTTTCCCCCCCAGCTCCATCCCCCCAACAATGGAGGGAGACAGGGCACAGGGGTTTTGGTCAGTTTGTCACTTGAGATATTCTTCTGTTCACTCAGGGAGAGGAGATTTTTCTGCTATGTCAATGGGTCTCTCCCATGGAAACACTTCTCAATGAACTTCTCCAGTGTGGCTCTAATCTCACAAGCAGCAGTCCTGCCAAAATTGTTGCAACGTGAGTGCCTCCCATGGGCAAACAGTCTTCACAAAACTGTTAAGGTGTGGGTCACACTACCATGGGGTGCAGTCCTCCAAAGGACCAGGCTGCTCTGCTTTGGAAGCTGCGAGTGGATTTCTGCATCCCCCACAGACTTCATGGACTGCCAGGCTAGAGTTTGTTTCATCATAGTCCTCACTACGGCTTGCAGAGGAATCTCAGCTGTGACATTTGGAGCACTTCTTCCCCCTCTTTTTTTCCACTGACCTTGGTGCTGCCATGTTGTGTTCCCTCACGTTCTCACTTCCCTCTCTTCTCTCACTACAAGAAAAACTGCTGCCTGAAGGTACCATGATGGCCCCGGCCACGGCGCATCACCACTCACCGCACTGGGATGGCCCCAGCAGCAGCGCCTCACCACCCCTGGTAAAAACTGTGTGTGCGCTGCTTTGACTTTCTTCTTCAATGTGTCATCACAAAAGAGTTACCAGCCTCTCTGATTGGGCCAGCAGCATGTCCATCTTCAGAGCCATCAGTGATTGGCTTCCAGCAGCTTCTCACAGGAGCCGCTGTCTGTGGCACTCCTTGGCTACCAAAAAACCCAGCTGTGCCAAATCAACACAAAGCAGCTGTTTGCTGTCCTTCCCTTGGGCTGTGTGAGCCTGCAGTAGAATGACAGAAATGGGAATTCTTGGCTTAGTTGTGCTTCCTCAGGCCCAGGGCAGGTTTTGGCAATGATCCCAGAACTCTTCCCAGAAAGGGAGTTGTTTCTGATAAGCACCCAGATGCTTCACCAGCACTGCCAGCACCGCCAATAAAACATGGTTTAGCTGGAAGAAACTTGGGTTAACCATTAATCTAAGATAGACAACATATTCTGTCGCCCTTAAAACTCAGCTTCTGAGCTTGCTAACATAGTTTTCTAAAGACATTCCCAAGACAGTAACTGTAAACATAGATATGTGTATATTCTTTCTGTTACACGTCTTGTGATGGGCATCTCTCATGGCCAGTGCAGTGAGAAAGTGTTATCCTGACCATCCAATTCCTGGCCATGGTCAGAAGCCTATAAATCCTGGGAGGAAAAATAAACTCTGCTCTTTCTTGCACCACACCTCAACCTGTGTCCGTGTGATCTATTGATCTTTAGCAGCAACAATATTCTGTTAATATTAAAAGAACCAAAACACCTATACCATGATATAATGAATTGGAATCACTTTTGGGAGTATCTATAAAAAAGTACCAAAACACCTATACCAAGGTGTAATAAATTGGGAGCCCTTTCGGGAGTATCTATAAAAAATCTTGGATATTATTGTGTATAAAAATGCCTGAAAATTGTTGTTCCTTTGAACATGTCTATGGCTAATAAATTTCCAGTATGTTCACAATTTTGACTCAAAATTCTTATTAGCCTAACACGCTTTTGCTGTTAGACTTAAACTTCTTTGTTTCAGAGGGGACATGGCTTCTGCTCCCTGGAGCAACCACGATCCCGAGTGCCCAGAGCTGGGCTGGCACTGGCACAGCTGGCACGGACAGGATGGCCCAGGGGCTCAGCATTCCCCCATGACTGCTCTGAGAGTGTCACAGCAGAGATGACACAGGGAGGCATGCTGCCTTAGGATTTTAGCCTTTATGTTTTTCAACTCCTGTACTGCATTAATGCATAACTCTCAGCTCCATATAAAGTGTTAGTTAACTGTCTTCACATTTGGGAAAGAAAAAACAATCCCTCCAGGATGGAAATTCAAGGACTCCCTACTGCCTCAGGCCCTGAAATGTATAAACAAGAGTGAACTGGGGGGGAGCAAACTGGGGGTAAATGACTTCACTACCTGAAGCTGTAATTGGAGGATTGACCCTGATATGTAAACAGAACAAACTTGTATGTCTGAAAAACTCGTGCCCATTGTCCATTTTGAGTGGAGCCCCTCTCAGAGGCTTTGACTTTCCAGGGTACACCTTTTGAAGGCCTTTAATAAATACCTGCTTTTATTCTCTTTACCTTGTCTAGCCTCTCTTCTAGGTAGCCACTCCAAGACATCAGGCAGACAGGGCTGGAGGGGGTTGGAGGGGGTCTGGGTGCCACCAATCCCAAATCTCCCCACTGGACAGCAACAGAGACCACCAGGCCCTTGCAGACAGGGAGTGGCCTCTGACTGGGAAACCAGTGGGACGGGAAGGGAGGGGAGGGGAATGGGACGGGATGGGACGGGTT